TTGATGGGGGATAAGAGTCCCGGCGTACTTCCAATCCCGTAACAACAAAAACCCGGTAACCTTTTCCTATTCCGATGTCCTCTGATGTGGATCCTAGATGATAACTTAGGAAATCCTGTCTCGCAGTCAGCTTACTGCGTCCGTATTGGTGGATTCCCTACGTGCAGCAGAGCTGGGCAAGCAAATCGACCCAAGTGTGATTAAATTCACGGTGCACGGTGAGCCGCGTAGCTCAATGGGAGAACGTTGGCTTCGCAAAAGCCTCCCCTGTTATTTGGGTTGGACTCCCATAGATGCCGCGGATTTTTCACAATTGGGTTAACCTATTATATATATAATTTAGTAGGCCTAGTCATGCTTATCACTGTACTCCAAAACTCAGAAGTCTTTAGCTCCCTGCGGGTACTTTAGGTTTGACTAGCTTTAGTTTAGTTTATCAGATAGTTTATTAGTTTACTTTTATAGTTTTACCTAGCCCGATTTTTAATTCAATTTTGTTTTTTTAAGTAACATACAAAAAAGCCTATCTTTTGCGGTTTTATTTTGATCACTAAACTTCGATATAGAGACGATATTGGTTTGTAGCCTACTTGCCAGTACTTTTGCGCAGATCTTTTTTCCTATTGGTTTTATTTACCATTTTAATTGCCACGCGCAAATTTTAGTTACTTAAATTATTATTTCCTATTATTAGGTACTTGTGCATTAAAATAACAATTTGCAGGAAGGTATTTCACTAGATACTCGCGTCTGTGTCGTAGCACAAGGTTTTATCCGGTTTTGGAGGACTTTAGCGTGACATTCAGGATTTTCCCATCAGACCTAACCTTGTCATCTCATTTTCGCTGCCAACATTTCCGCCTTTCCTCTTCACATTGCCATTTATTTCTAGTTCTACAACGAAAGGTATGCTATCGACATGCAACACCAGTTCTGCGCTCTCTTCCAACTCGAACGATTTAATGGCAGGTCCAAGACGGCAGCAGAAGCACCTATCCCAACCTGTCCGGCGTGTGGCTTCCAGACAAAATCTCTTTTACTGTCAAGCGTGGCAGGCACCTCGAAGATGCCCTGTCTACACAAAACTGCCTGCCGTTTGCCAGACGTCGCGGATAGCTTTGAAAGCGATCCAGATTTGCTCATGCGCCGGTCAAATGCCACCTCAACTTTCAAGTCCCTACTCGCCTGCATTGGGGACGGACT